CAATAAATTTTCCAGAGGCGTAGGCATTCCTAGGGTTTTCAGTGCTCGGGAACTGAAGATTTTGCGCCCCTTTCTCTGTGCCAAGAACGGAAAACATTTCATTCTAAAATTTCGTAACATCAATTTGGCGCCCCCTGAATGCTGTGCCCGGGAACAGATGTCCCCCCTTGCCCCACCCTAGTTACGCCCCTGAAATTTTCTCTTTATAGTTTTCATATCTTTACAGTTCATCTTTCTTTTCACGGTCCTCTCTTTCTCTCTCTCTCTCTCTCTCATTTTTTTTTTTATTTGGTTCCCGAAGAAGTGCTTTCTAAAAGGAAAAATTTACCGTAAGAAAAGTGCTATTTATTTATATTTGCATTAAATATTTAAAAGTGAAATATGCTGACGTAATTTTCAAAGTGACCGAAACATAAAATTGATCATTAGTCATTAAAAATACAGGTTTTAACTAGAACGAAGTATTAAATCCAGTATGATAATAGATCCAGTACGATAACTATCAGTGTTAATTTCATTTATTAATTTTTATGAAACCTAGCATGAACGAAAATTTTCTAAGCATCCATTTTTAAAATTTTTGCTTTAAAGGGAAAATATTTGATTCTAAAAATTTTCAAAATGCAGTTTCCTTAGAATTTAATTTACATATTCTTAGTGAGATTTAAAAAAAAAAAAAAAAAAAAAAAAAAAAACATATTTAAGAAATCTTTACAATTTTAAGATAAATGTTATTTTCGAAATATGATGAATTAATTAAAAATATATTTTAAAATTTACTGCTAATATCTTCTTCGGTTAAATGTGTTATTATGGCCAACAGCACGGCCAGTTCAAATTTACAGGTGGCGTCATCTAGTAGATATAGATGTCACTATCTTATCATTGCGTTTTAATTATTTTATTTCATGAAACACTTTTGATAGGAAACATTGTTTTTTCATGTGATACAGACCTTAAATTGCGCCGGAGCCCACTGGATTCCGGCTCCGGTTCTTCTTAATTTTTGGGATAAATCATAATTGTAGGCGGAGCCCTAAATAAGAAGGCTTCGCCACTTCTTTTATGTAACTGAACAACAATTTTAGTAGAAATTTGGTCTCGAAAATTTTATTTTTTGCAATAAAATTATATTAAGAATCGCTTATTAAATTTTAGTTCATCTCTTTACATTGTATTTAATTTTAATTATTTAAATAAATGATAATTAATTATGTTTTATTTAATTAAATAATAATTGTTAATTAAATAATAATTGTTAATTAATTAATAATTGTTAATTAAATAATAATCGAGAAATATTAATTATTAATATTGATTAAATCATTAATAATTACTTTGATGATAATTAACTATTTAACTTTGAAATTATTAATGATTTTAATAGTCATTTTATTTATTTATTTACCTTTGTTCCTCTTTGCTGGCGATCTTCCATAGGGCTCCGGTACTTCTAATTTTAGAAATTAAGCCCTGATGTGATATGATGTATATTTGTGATTTTTTTCAATATGTGTGCAATAAATTTTCAGAAGAGAAATTTAATGCACTTTAAAATTTTGCTCTTATTAATAATTAGGCTATGACTCAAACTGATATATTTCCTTATTTTGCTTACGCCTTTGCAGATTTTTTACCTTTGGAATAAATTGTAAAAAGCAAAAAACCTAAAGCATTTTTGTCAGTTTTATCACAAACCTTAACTGATACTAAATTACAGAATAAAGAATATTATAAATAAAATGTAAACTTTTAAAATCCGGTTTCTAGTTTCTTTTTGCAGTGGTAAAAATAATTTCTTCTCATAGTCCCCCCCCCCCCCTCCATCACAGAAACTTGCCATCCTTGTTTTAAGAATTCGAAAAATAAACAATAACTTAAACAGACAACTCTTAAAACTTAAAAAAAAAAAAAAAAAAAAAAAAAAAAAAAAAAAATGTTATTAGATACATTCGCATACAGTAGTAATAGTATCAAATTACTTGTCCACAGAATTAAATTAATGATATTTTATTTTTAACTTCGAAATTTTTTTTCACAACAATATCATTTACTACATTATCAGAATTTATATCTAATAGCTTGTATATTATATCTCTTAGTGAACAAAGCTAGAGAGGAAAATGGTGATTATAAGGCTGATTTAAATCTTTGAAACAGAGAAAATGATTTGTGTGTCGTACAGTTTGATTAAGGCGCTGTTAAAAGCAATTTTAACGCTTTTTTTTCTCTAGAGACAAAAAAGATTACAAGTAAATGTTTTGTTCCATTTCTTTTTCCTAAAATTAATATGTTCTTTTAAAGAGAACAGCTGCATTGATTAAACGCGATTTATTTACTATAAGGAGTGCATTGAAAAAAATCGCAAATTAATATTTGACCTAAGTAACGCTTTTCCAAAGATAAACAAGCAGTAGTGAATTCAATGAAACATAGAAATCGAACTTGATTTATTCCACGTTGTAGAAGGTCAGTGACGAGCCCATGATTTTTACCTAAGAGGACTGACTAAGTATGAAACAAAATTGTAATCTTTTGGATCATGCAAGGTTTAAGATGATTTTGACATTCAGTGGAAGTGATCGTCTTAAAGAGCTGAAACTTAGAATCAATGTTTATTTAAGCTTCTAGAAATACTGTTCACCTTCAGAAGTGGTCGCCTTAGGGAGGATATCACTATGATAGGGTTTACTGAATTTTGAATGTAAAGACATACTCTCTAAAGTAAGAGGTTATATACTTAATTTACGATCACAACTTGTGCCATTAGCACCATATGAAGAATTTGCGATCAGAACTTGTGCCATTAGCACCATATAAAGAAAGAGGTTTAGCGGGATAGAGAGAATTAGCAAATTAGATGACTCGACCATATTGCGCAGTAATCAGTAAGCAGAAAATGGCCTTAACAGATTGTAATTAGTTCAATAATGCATATGCTTTTCTAAAATTGTGAAAATCAGACGAGGAGATGAAGTAAGAGTGATTATATTATAATAGATAAAAAAATTTTTAATCCGATGGATGTCATAAAAATAATTAATTATAAATATTACTATCTGAAAGCAAATAAAATCGGCAATGGAAAATTTTCTGTGTTGCTCAAAGCACTTGCTTTGCTTAATGTATAATCCAGCCATGGACTTAGTGAAGGCCAGTGAACATTGATATTTTGAATTCTAACGAATGAGCTTTCTGCATGGTATTTATTTACCAGAGCTTAAATTGCGCCAGAATCCAAGACTTCTCAGCTTTTGAGACAAATTCCAGTTCTCGCCGAAGCGTACCATAGCTGTAAACAAAAGAGCTTCGATGCTTCTTTTATGCAACTGAACCTCAATTTTAGCAAAAAAATCTTTTGATGTTGAAAATTTGTTTTAGTAATATGACGTAAAAATTGAATCTATCTTCTGAATGCACGCCTGTCTACCCCCGGGAAATAAACCTCTTGACAGATATCGAGACTGAGCTTCCACGCATGTATCAAAGGCTTATTCTCCTGGAAGTTAAATGAATTTATGGCAGTGGGTAAATTTTGTTGTAAATATTTCTGCAATAAATTACCAAAGTAAGGAATAGAATAATTTCTTACCTTGTCTTTTCGGTAATGGTCGGCGTTATCATAGTTAATTTCCATAATCCATAAAGTGAGGTTGTACAGGAAAATTGCAAACAAACACATTTACTTTTCACATGATAATAATCGAACAAGATTCATTAGAATTTTCATAATATATCAAGAGAGTGTTCAATAATTAGTCATTGTATGAGAGGTTTTTAACACTGCCCTTACGTGAAGGAGTGAGAAGAAGGTAAAAAGGAAAACCGAGTCACACAGTTAACTTTTCCGTAGCGCACTCAGATTACATCTTTTATTGCCTTATTGGCGGCTGTTCATCACTCCAACACCCCTACTTGATGACAGTTTCATCATTTACAACGATTCTCGAAGTTTCTCGAGTACAGGCGGCTTGCCTAGTGGTTTGGTGAGCAGGTCTGCGATCATGTCGGATCTTTTGCAGTAGTCTAGGCTCATGATGCCGTTTTGTTGAAGTTCCCGTTAACGTCTATATGTTTCGTTCTGGAACTCTTTTTCTCTGATTGTGAAAGTTTGATGCATGACTTGCTATCATCATAGAGAGTAATCGGTAGATTTTGTTTTAGCCCTAATTCTTCAAGTAAGTTTAACAGTCATTGTGCTTCTTCTTTTAGTGCAACATCTTCTGCTTCAGTTGAAGACAATGCAATGCAGTTTTGCCTTTTGCTGCTCCATGAAATGCAATTGTTTCCTACTTTGAATATGTATCCGCTAATGGATTTTCTGGTTGTTCTGTCATTTTCCCAGTCTGCATATGAATGTATAGTTAGTACAGGTTCTTGAATTTTGTTAAAGACCAACTTCAAGTCTTTAATTGTATTCAAGTATCGAATGATCTTTTTGACAGTATTTCAATCTATTTTCCGAGGTTTTTTTTGTTTTTTCTACTCAGTAGATTAACGGCGCATGCTATATCGGGTCGGCTGATTATTGCAATGTATAGCAGTGCCCCTACTGCTTGTCTATATTCTGTACTCTCTTCTAGAAGATCATCTGCATATTCTAGTTTGTAGTAGTTGGTTTCCATTTGCGTATATGTTATTTTTTTCATCTCTAAGTCCGAATCTTTGACTATTTCTTCGGTTTTATTCTTTTGGTTTATGGCGAAAATTCCATCTTCAGATCTTTCGATGTTTATGCCGGGGTAGTAGGTGATTTCTCCTAGTTCTTTGATTTTCCCGTTTAGCTTTTAGTTGTTGGATTGTTTTCATTGTATCTTCTTCTCTTTCACTTCCTATAAGTATATCATTTGAATATAATATTATATATGTGAATTTTCCTTTGTTGTTTTTGAAAAATAAGCATGGGTCTGCTTTACTTTGTTTAGTACTTTGTTACTTGTACCAGTCTGCATATGAATATGTAGTTAGTATAGGTTTTTGAATTTTGTCAAAGACAAACTTTAAGCCTTTAGTTGTATGTAAGTATATCGAATGACTTTCTTGACAGCATTCCAATCTATGTTCCGAGGTTTTTCGTTTCTTCTACTCAGTAGATTGACGGAGCATGCTATATTTGGTCTGCTGATTGTTGCAATATATAATAATGCCCCTACTGCTTGTCTATACTGCGTATTATCCTCTAGAAGATCATCTTCAGTTTCTAGTTTGCAGTAGTTTGTTTCCATTGGTGTATATGTTGGTTTTTCGTTTTGAAGTTCAAATATTTGAACTATCGATATTTCTTCAATTTTATTCCTTTGGTTTATGGCAAAGGTTCCACTTTTAAATTTTTCGATGCTTATGCCGAGGTAGTAGGTGACTACTCCTAGGTTTTTTTTAATTTCCAATTTAGCGTTTAGTTGTTGGATTGTTTCCATTACATCTTCTTCTCTTTCACTTCTTATAAGCATGTCATCTACATATAATATTAGATACGTGAATTTTCCATTGATATTGAAACACAAGTATGGGTATGCTTTACTTTGTTATAAATGATATGTTTAGAAGTATTTTTCCAAATTCCAAGCTCTAGCAGCTTGTTTTAGTCCATACATTGATTTCTTCAACTTGCAAACTTTATTTTCGTTTCCAGCTTCAGGTTGAGTCATGTAAATTTCTTCTTCTAGTTTTCCATGAAGAAAAGCTGTTTTGACATCGATGTATCTGACAGACATGTTTTTATACGAAGCTGCACTTAGGAAAGTGCGTAGATTTGTGAATTTTATCACAGGAGCAAAGGTTTCATCATAATCAGATACAAACTTCTGGCTAAATCACATTGAGCTTGGTTTTGAAAATCCATTTGCAGCCTATTAATTTTCTTCCTTTTGATAAATCGACTAATTCCCAAGTATTGTTTTCTTCTGGTGAATTGATTTCTTCTTAAACAGCTTTTTTCATTTTTTTCCAAAGTTTTAATTTTCTTCAAGGTTTTGGATTCCGCACGGACTGGATATTTTGCACAATATCCGTAGCAATCAGGAGCACAATGCACAATATCCGTTTGTGTTTCTATTTGATCTAATGAGTTCTAAAGATTCTTCATCGGATTCAGATATTTTTCGTTTTTCAGGATCTTCAGTTTTTATCTCTTCCTGTTCGGAGGTTTCTTCCTTAGGATTTTCTTTATCTTGGTTGAGAAAGACACTATTAAAACCACACCTGGGATTCTTAAAATTTTTCTAATTTCCATCATTGGCTTGAAATAGGCACATACAGCGAAGTTAAAGCTTCATAATTTAATACAACTTCGTGTTTAACTATGGATCAATAAGTTAACCTTTTTCGGTTAATATTCATACTCTCCTGCGGCTAAGCGGTTAAGACTGCTGAACGCTAGTAACTTGTCCCAAGTCAATTCTTTGGGAACAAATTGCCTGCATGGGTTTTCGCCATGGGTCACACGAATACGAGCCGATTTTCTTTAGAAAATCAAAATCCTCCCCGAAACATTCAAAATAAGGCAGATAGTTCTCGCGAACTTAAAATGATACACATAAAATTACGAATTCTGAAATTAGCTAAATTAATTTTTTGAAATTAGCTAAATTAATTATTTAAAGCGATTTTTACCTCCTGATTTCTTTTCAAAAATCCTGAATTTTGGTTAAGAAAAAAACTCTTTTCAGCTTCAACAGAACTTTGAACATTGGCTAATATTAATAAAATTCTGGCAAACAGGTTGACCCAGATACCATTTTTCGTTAATCGCGGCTGCTGCATAAACATTTTTTTAAAACACAGTTTTATTATTATTGTGATTAAAAATTCTTTCATACATTACACAAACCACCTGTCACTAATTATCCGAGGAAGCTAAAACGTATTAAAAGTTCGTAAAACTAATAGGTAATTAGATGTTCACGATCCCTATGATGACCTAACCTAACCTTACCTTACCTACCTTGAATTTTCCATTGATATTGAAACACAAGTATGGGTATGCTTTACTTTGTTATAAATGATATGTTTAGAAGTATTTTTCCAAATTCCAAGCTCTAGCAGCTTGTTTTAGTCCATACATTGATTTCTTCAACTTGCAAACTTTATTTTCGTTTCCAGCTTCAGGTTGAGTCATGTAAATTTCAGGCTGTAAAATTAATGTGCCAATTTGCTCAATATCCTGCAATAACATAGTAAACATATATGTAGCAAAATTATGCAGTCCAAAGGCAAATTGTGCATGGATAAAGACTCGAACCATACATTTGTTCTACAGCAAACTTTATTCAAAAAATGGAACAAAAAACTGATAAATAGTACATTTCACTTTCAAACAATTTTGCTTCTAGAATAAGAAAAGTAATAATATAAATCAATTAAGTTACACTTGAAAAATTTTGTTGTTTATTATGTTGATACCGCAATGAGTCAAATCTAAATTGAAAACCCTGCTAAAAATGCCCCGTAGAAACCCATAAAATTTCTTTACGGGGAATTGGCCTACGGGTACCCGTACAGCTCTGTGGGTACCCGTAGGCCAAATCCCCGTAAAACCCACAGACAGAAACCCGTACAACTATACGGGTACCCGTAGGCCAAATCCCCGTAAAACCCCATAGAAAGAAACCCGTACGTTTGTACGGGTACCCGTAGGCCAAATTCCCGTAAAAACCCATAAAAAGAAACCCGTACGGTTGTACGGGTACCCATAGGACGAATACCCGTAAAAACCCATAGAAAGAAACCTGCACGGCTGTATAGGTACCTGTAGGCGAAATACCCGTAAAAAACCTGTAAACGGAAACCCGTACGACTGTACGGTTACGAGTAGGCTGAATCTCTGTAGAACTGTAGGCACTATAAACAAAATCCCAGTAAAAACCCATAGCCAAAAATCAAAACTTTATATGCATATCCATTGGCCAAATTTCCATTAAAAAAATCATGGAGGTAGGAAAGGGAGGAGGGGCCATTCCGCGCTAGAAGTGAAGCACTGCTTTGAAGCTTGGGTCACCAGACGGGGTGTTTTTTGTTTACATTCAGAAGCTCGCTTGACAAAATTCTGATAGTATTTCGACACACGACAGTTCCATAGAAATCGAAAAAGGGACATTTTCGCATGAAAGAAACATTCATAGTGTGATGGATAATAGCAATTTGTATAGTTTACTGACATTTACGCAAAAATCACGTCTTGGTTATTTTTCGATAACTAACAACAGCGATTTTGATTATGAATTTGTTTTATAAAATTCTAAGCTGTTGCACTACAAAATATAGAGATTTTAAGAAAATTGCTGAAAGAGATCTGCCAAAATTTATTTTCTAGAAGATTTGAAAAGTTTGAAACTTGATGGCTAAATGTAAATATAAAATTATGTATGTTAAAATATTTGTAATTAGTCACATAGGTCAGATTAAGTTTTTATTAAATAGAGTAACGCATGCAAGGGCTATCTGCCTAAAGAGAGAGATGCCATTGTGGGGGAATTTTGAAGAAAAACTGACCTTTGAGTGGGTATTAAAAATAATACTTATAATTTTCATTCAAATTATATTCATATATATTTTTTATGTAAAACTTTCGGGTGTATGCTAAATTAGTGTAAATTACTTTACACAAAAGATATAGTGAATGCACAGAAATTAAAGATTTGCACATGCCGGAAATGATAAATAGGAAATATGTATGGGTATTTATGCATGTGCTTGCAAAAAGCATGTATCTGCCTTTGACAAAATACTTAAATATTCATTAAATTATTTATAAATGTATTTGAAATGAAGAATTTATTTACTTATAAACGACTGTGATAGTACTGTGAAGAAATCTAATGACTAAATGTATCTAATTTATAATGATTATAAATGTTATCTAAATATATAATAACCTTAATATTGAATTGTAAACATAAATTGAAATCCTGTTGAAAAATACGTTATAAAACTATTTAAGCAAGAACTGTTCGTATTGGAAAGCAATCTGTTAAAAGGTATTGTAAAGCAAATGCTACGAGATGCGCACTTAAGAACGTAATAAAGAGTTTTGGAATATGTATTGTTGAAATGAAGAGTAAAAAAAAAAGTATAATTAAAAGAATTATTCCCTTTACATTTTATAATAACTTAGTTACAAGTTTTAATATAATACTTAAAAAAAAAAAAAAAAAAAAAAAAAAAAAAAAAAAAAAAAAAAACTTATTTTATTCCCTTTTAGAAATGTTCAGAGAAAGTCAAATACTATTTTCCTAATAATTCTCTAATTTAAAATGAACCGAATAGAACATTAATTATAAATTGACTTACATTTTTCGATTTAAAAGAAGCCAAAAAATCATGTCATATTTAAGAAAGTATTTTAGGAAGAAGCTCTATAAATAGAAAAGAAATAATGCATAATTTTAATATTAATAATACAATAAACTTTGATCTTAATTTTTGTACCTTAACCGAATAAAATCGAATTACCTTAATTTTTTTTTTCTAATGTAATTAACGAAAACTTGTGAAAATATTTCATTCAAATTAAACCATTCTGAGAAAACTGTGCTGTGAAAAGTATAGCATTTAATTCCGTTCAGAATGAAATGTTGTTTAAAAATATGTTGTTTTCACATACTTAGGACTCTGAAGTGTTGTAGAAAAAGAAAATATACATTTTATATGTATATTTGCGACGTAATTACAAAATATTTACACCCGAACGCGTCAAATCCCATAGAACTCAATGGTAAATGACCCAATGTTTTGGTCACCACGTAGGGATCGCCGGTGCTTCAGAGCAGGGTACGGAGAAACTTGTTTAGGGCGACTCCTTCTTACTTCCTACCTCCATGAAAAAAATGGATATTCCGCAGGGTAATGCTTTGTAAAAACTAGTAAACAAAAGCATGTACACCTATACAGGCATCCATACGCGAAATCCTGTAAAAACCACTACACAATCCACAGACCAATAAAGGTACCTCTTGGAAAAATCGCTGCACAAAACCCATAAACAGAACCAATAGACATTATACCATAGTGGAGTATCCATACATAGAATTGTGCATAGAACGGGTATCCATATACAGAATCCCTATAAAAAACAATACACAAAAATAGAACTGTAAATCAAATTTCCATAAAAACATAAACCAGCAGAAGTACATAATTAGCACTGATGAAATGTACAGAACTAAATTGCGGAGAAAGCATGTAAAGTAATTTTAAATAAAACTCAATGCGAATAAATAAAAATTTTAAAATACCTAGAAGCCTACGAGCCCGTCCTTCTATGTCAATATAAATTCTCTTTACAAAATTTTAAACTACCTTTATATAATTCTGAAAATAAAATGAATAGAAAGATAATAACCAAAGTCATGATTCACAACCATCGAATGATAAATGTACATATACATATGTAAGAAAAATAAGGAATATGCAAAAGATTAAATTAGCAACATAAAATTAATTTTCCTTCTCT